TGGTGGTGACGATGGTGGTACCTTCTACCTCTCAGGAGCTGGTCACTGCCTGGTACATCGGCTTCCTCTGTCTCATCCTGGCGTCGTTCCTGGTGTACTTGGCAGAGAAGGGGGAGAACGACCACTTTGACACCTACGCAGATGCACTCTGGTGGGGCCTGGTGAGTTGTGGTCATTGTGGCTTTCCCTTTCCCTGCTCTCCCACCTGCCCACCAACTGAGGACGTGCCCTTGTCACTGTGCTGGGACCAGACTGTCGCTGGCTGAGCCGGCTCCATACATCTCTTTGGGGCCACCTGCTGGCCGCCCGTGGTCATGATGGCTCGTGGTTGAGGCGGGGTGGCGGTTGCCACGCTGGCAGGGGAGCAGGTGGGGAGGGCTGGGCCCCAGGGAGCCTGAGCTCAGCTGCGGTGGGCATCATCCTTCCTCCTGAGTGATCCTACACCTGCTCTGTGTCCTGATCGTTGGGGGAAGGGGGAGAAGAGGCGTCTCTAGGAGATCTGTCCTGGGCAACCCTGGTCCAGGGACCAACCCCGTGACCTGGTGGCTGTGGGGGTGGGTGAGTGGGAGGCTTTGCCCTCTGTGCCCATGGCTGGCTGCCACTGTCCTGGGCCTTCCTGTTCCTGGCCCCCACCCCTGGCCCTGCCCCTCAGGGTGAGAGAGGAGAGAATTTGAAGGGCAGCCGATCCTCTGGCCCCAGCTCAGCTTCCAGCCTGTCTGTCCAGGGTGGTCTGGAGCCTGTGGGTCTGTGGCCCCTCTACTGGTCACCCCCTCCCTGGCCTCCCTGCTGCCGGGACCCCAGCCCACTTTCTTGGCCACCTGTCCCTGTGCTGTGGCCGGGCTTCTCTCGGAGCAAGTCGCCCCTGTCGAGAGGGTTCCTGGAAGCCTTCTGAAGGACCCCCTGGAGCAGGGTGGACGTGGGATCTCCGAGGCCCTGTGTTTTTGGAGACCAGGTGGCTCCGCAGGCCCCACTCTGATCAGGTCTGAACAGATCTGGGCCCCGGGCTCCTCCTCACCTGGGGCCACAGACACCCTCAGGCTGGTGGTGCGCAGGGGCGGGGTCTGTGGTCTCCTGGGAGGCTGAGAGCAGACCCCAGGCCCAGCCCCGCACACGCTGGCTGAGTGGGCTCAGCCCTGCGGGAAAGGTGTGGGCAGCTCCACCTGGTGCCTAAGCTGGATGCAGCTGATCTGAAGTTATTAATTGCATGAGACCCAGGCACTGTCTTCCCAGGCAGGGCTTGGGTGGGAGTTGAGAGCTGAGCGTGCCCCGGGGCCCAGGCTGTGGACCAGGCAGACGACCTGGACTCACTGAGCCATCGTGTGGTTCAGGCCCCACCGTAGGGTCAGCGTGAGGCCCAGGGCATCCTGAGCTGTGACTGCCAGGCCCTCGGGCTTTCAGTGGGGACAAGCCCATCCCCCAGGCCTTTTGTGGGCAAGTCTTCTTATCTTTACGATTGAATTGGGGTTTTTATTTGGGTGTTTTTTCTGAGTAATGCTTGTGTATATTTTTAAATGTCAGACAGTTCCTAAGCCTTATGGTGAGAATACAGCCCCGCTCTGTGGTCACGGTGCCCTCCCCGCTGGGTCCCTCTGCCGCGGCTGTGGCTGCTTCTGTGTTTTTCTTTGGGGTTTACCTGATTAGTCTTAAGCAGCAAATAGAGATGCTGGGATTTCTGATTCAAACACACTAACTGTGTGCTTCCTACTGGGATAGGATGAGATCTACCCCCAATTTCCCTTTCTTGCAGCCTTTGGGGGTCCTCACCAGTGTGGGGGGAATCCCGCCCTCACCTCCCCGGCAGGCCAGGCCCCATCTGCCAGGCCTCCAGCTTTCTTTCCCTTGAGTTGGCGCCTACTTTGAAGGAGCAGGTCGGATGGCAGCTGGGAACATTTCAGGGGCAGAAATTTTCGGAGAGCTGTGTGTGACAGTGTCCCATCCATGTGACCCCCCTGGCGAGGGTGGAGGGCCTGGCCCCCTTTCACAGACCTGGCCCTCAGTGGGACCCGGGCTTGGAAGCTGCTCTGGGATTCTCTGGCTTCTTTCGACTCCCCTGTCCCCCACAACATTCTAGCTAGGGTCCATGTCTCGCTGCCCCGCCCATCTCTCTGCCATCTCTCTCTCTCTCTCTCTCTTTTTTTTTTTTTTTTTTTTTTTGAGGCAGGATCTTCCTCTATCATCCAGGCTGGAGTGCAGTGGTGCAGTCAAAGCTCACTGCAGACTCAACCTCCCGGGCTCAAGTGATTCTCCTGCCTCACCCTCCTGAGTAGCTGGGATTACAGGTGTGCACCACCACACCTGGCTAATTTTTGTATTTTTAGTAGAGACAGGGTTTCACCATGTTGGCCAGGCTGGTCTTGAACTCCTGGGCTCAAGCGATCCACCGGCCTTGGCCTCCCAAAGTGCTGGGATAACAGGTGTGAGCCACCGTGCCAGGCCCATATCTCTCTGTCTGTCTGTCTCTATGTCTGCCTCTGTCTCTCTGCCTCTATCTCTCTATCTCTCTGTCTCCATCTCTCTGTCTCTATCTCCGTCTCAGTCCCCATCCTCTCCCTCTTGGTTTTCTGCCTTCCCCCTCAGCCCTTGCTGTCATGTGGTTGAGTTGAGAATGTCAATAGTCACTGTTTCATGTCTTCCAAAACATGCCTCTTGGCCGGGCGCGGTGGCTCACGCCTGTAATCCCAGCACTTTGGGAGGTCAAGGCGGGCGGATCACGAGGTCAGGAGATTAAGACCATCCTGGCTAACACGGTGAAACCCCATCTCTACTAAAAATACAAAAAATTAGCCAGGCGTGGTGGAGGGCACCCGTAGTCCCAGCTAGTTGGGAGGCTGAGGCAGGAGAATGGCATGAACCCGGGAGGCGGAGCTTGCAGTGAGCCGAGATCGCGCCACTGCACTCCAGCCTGGGGGACAGAGCGAGACTCTGTCTCAAAATAAAAAACAAAAACCAAACCAAAAAAAAAAATGCCTCCTTTGGTAAAGAAATTGTGTAGAGGGCTGAGGTCCTGGCTTGGTCTCCCCAGGAGAGGTTTCTGGGTCCAGGCCTCGCCCAACCTCCCGCCCACTCCATGTGGCAGCCTCCTTCCCAGAGCCTTCTGTGCACTCCGCATGGTGGCGGCAGCCGAGGCCCCCAAGTGCTGGTGCTGCTTCGCGCCAGGCCGCGGCTTCCTTCAGTGTGGAGCGGGCGTGGCCCTGCCGGCCCACCCTGTCCTCAGACCACACAGCGGCGTCCTCAGAGCCTGGGGTAAACTCCCCGGGGTGGGGCTGCGGGTCCTGGGGAGAGGTCTCCCCTTCCCGGCCCCGCTGTCTGTGCTCAGGCCTCGATCCCTCCCTCTGTTTGTCTAAGACCCTGCCCTCCCAGGGCCTGTCCCGGGCCCACCTTCTCGTCCAAGCCTCTGTGCGGTTGTCCTGAGCCCCCTGGCTTGTGGTGCGTGCGGTTCTGGCAAGGGGGGGTGGGCTGCGGCCCCCACATGTCCAGCACTGAGTGCAGGGCACCTGCCCCGCCTTCCTCGGCCCCGGCACGGGCGTCTCTTGTCAGAGCTGCTTGGAGACGTGTCCGTCCTTTGCTTTCCCTCACCCAGGCTCCGAGCTGGGGGCTCCTGGGCTCTCTGGGACCCCTGGGGAGGCCCAACCTGGCCCGACCGCCCCCTTGCCCACCACCCCTAGAGAAACTCTAAACACAACCCCTGGGGTCCCTGCTCCAGGAGCAGCCACCCCGCCATGGCCCGATGGGGACCACTCCCCCGCCTCTCATCGTGGCCTCCTCCCGCCAACCCCCTCCTCTGGCCTCAGCTCAGGTCAGGCTCAGCGAGCCCCCTGCACGCCCCGCCTGTTCCTCTGGGTCCCTCTCGGCACTCCCTCCTCCCCAGCTGCACTCTCCACCCGGCGGGGATGGGCGGGGGCTGCCGTCCTAGCCGAGCCTCGTGGGAGTCACGTCACTGGGCCTCTGGTTCTCGATGTGAGATGGGGACACAGCCTTTGGCTGGACCCTGCTTCTGGCCTGTAGGGGAAGAGGAGAGAGGGCTCTGGGGATGAAGGGCGGCCGACCCCAACCCTGGCCTCACTGGGCCCCTGTGTGGGTGGTGACATGGGAGTGGTACCACATCTGTCCCAGCCCAAGCCCTGAGCTGCCTGCGGGCGTCTAGCCTGCCCTCAGGGGTGTGAGCAGGCCCTTCATGTGACCGGAGCCTGCGGTCCCACAGATCACGCTGACCACCATTGGCTACGGGGACAAGTACCCGCAGACCTGGAACGGCAGGCTCCTGGCGGCAACCTTCACCCTCATCGGTGTCTCCTTCTTCGCACTTCCTGCAGTAAGTCCAGCTGCCCTGCCTGCCTTGGAGGGGGACGAGGTCTTGTAGGCTCCCCAGGTGACCACAGGCCCCTGGGCACAGTTCCCTGGGTGGGACCTGGGGCAGGAGCAGCTCCCAGCAGGTCCACAGCCCCCAGGAGCTGGAGGTGGCAGCTCAGGGTCAGAGGCCTTATTCCCCGAGGACTGGAGTGGGGGGTTCCCCAGCCCTAGCAGGAGCATGCCCAGGGCTGTGGCTGTAGCTTCAGGGGCTCTGTTAGTCACTGGTGGCCCCTCTTAGTCTGAGTGGGGCCCAGCAGGACGTCCTTGTGACCAGGGGCAGGGCGGCTGGTGACACAGCTCCCTCGTGGGTCTCCAGGCAGTGAGGCCCACCCAGTTCAGAGGAAGGTGGAGGGGCCCTGCCAACCTTTGTTGCCCCAGGGCAGGGCAGGGCAGCTGGTGCACGGCGAGAGGCTGGCCGCGGTGGTTCCTTCACTGTGTGCCCTTCAAGATGGGTGTGCAGACTCTTCTGGGTGGAAGGGAAGGAGAGGCCACCCTGAGTTCAGTGTGGGCCCCGCCATGTCTCCTGCAAGCCAGTGGGTTCTTTCCTCTTGGTGCTGATGGATTGTGGGGACGCGGGTCCCTGGATGCAGTCTGACCCTGATGAAGGTGGGGGAGGTATGGATCAGTGGAGACGGGTCTGACCCTGATGAAGGTGGGAGACATGGGTTCCCGGGGCGTGGTCTGACCCTGATGAATTGGGTTGTGGGGGTCCCTGGGATGTGGCCTGACCCTGACAAATTGCAGGGCATCTTGGGGTCTGGCTTTGCCCTGAAGGTTCAGGAGCAGCACCGGCAGAAGCACTTTGAGAAGAGGCGGAACCCAGCTGCAGGCTTGATCCAGGTGAGTCCCCTGGGGACCAGCACAGCCCTCGTCCTGGTCCCACCTTGTCCAGGAGTAGAAGCCGCCAGGGTCTTGGCATCGCCTTATCTGCGGATGGGGCCACAGCCCTCACCCTCTGCGGGAATATGTGGAAGGAGCCAGGATGCGAGTGTGTGTGTTGAGAAATGGCTCCGACCCCTGAGGCTGCACAGGGTGGTTTTTGTGAAGATGCTGCTGGGGTGGCCCTAGCGTTGTGTGGGCGCTGGGGCCCAGCCATCAGGTCCTCTCCACCGCACCCTGGGAGGCGAGTGCACCCATTTGGAAGCTGCAGGGCTGAGGCTCCCAGAGCCTACATGCTGCAGTGAGTCAGTGCCTGACCCCGTCTGACCCCTGATGCTGGCTCTAGGCCCCGATGATGCCTGCCCGGACCCCACCCAGCCCCGTCCCACCATTTGGGGGTAGGTAGGGTGCAGTGACCACTCTGGCATCCACAAGTAATTCCTGAGCCACCTTGAAAATATGGACAGACAATGGCTGGGCACAGTGGCTCACGCCTGTAATCCCAGCACTTTGGGAGGCTGAGGTGGTAAGATCACAAGGTCAGGAAATCAAGACCATCCTGGCCAACATGGTGAACCCCGTCTCTCCTAAAAATACAAAAATTAGCCGGGTGTGGTGGCGTGCACCTGTAGTCCCAGCTACTCAGGAGGCTGAAGCAGGAGAATCGCTTGAACCAGGGAGGCGGAGGTTGCAGTGAGCGGAGATCACGCCACAGTACTCCAACTGGCAACAGAGTGAGACTCCATCTCAAAAAAATAAAAAATAAAAAAAAAGAAAATATGGACAGACAGCAGGACCCCCTTGGGACCAGCCATTCTTACAGTTCCTCCCCAAAGTCTTCCATCCACTGGACCCTCAGAACTGATCAGGTCCCTGCCAGCTGGATGTGGCTATAGGCTCTCTCCTGTCTCAGACAGCAGATCTTGAGATGGAAATAAGCCTGGGTTACACCAGGTGGGCCCTAAATGCAATGACATGCATCCTTATAAGAAGGAGATTTGACACAGAGGAGGGGAAAGCAGTGTGACCAGACGCAGAGACTGGAGACATGGCCACAAGCCATGGAGTGTCGGTGGCAACAGCAGGGGATGTGCCTCTCGTGGTCTTGGAGAAATTCTGGGCCCAGCCCACCTTAAGGTGTGTATTTATCTTCCACTATAAAAACTACAAACAGCCATTTATTTTCATGCAAAAGATTATAAAGAAGAACAAAAATGCCCCCAAATCTCACTCCACTATTGATGGTTTAAAAAATGACCACGTACATGTGGTGAAAAGGTTAAAACAGTGCCAGAAAAGGCAGCACCTGAGCACCCAGGGTCCCGTGCACCCTGCTCCCCTCGAAGGTCACTCTTAACAGCAGCTGGTGCACATTTCCAGAGCCCCGTTGGGCCTCTCCACAGGCACACCTCAGAGGTCCTGCAGCCATGGTTCCAGACCACTGCAATAGAGATACGGCAATAAAGTGAGTCACATGAATTTCGGGGTTTCCCAGTGCATGTGGAAGTTATGTTTACAGGCTGGGCACCGTGGCTCCCACCTGTAATCCCAGCACTTTGGGAGGCCAAGGTGGGCAGATCTCTTGAGGTCAGGAGTTTGAGACCAGCCTGGCCAACATGGTGAAACCCCATCTCTACTAAAAATAACAAAAAAATTAGCCAAGCATGGTGGCTCATGCCAGTAATCCCAGCTACTGAGGAGGCTGAGGCAGCAGAATCGCTTGAACCCGGGAGACGGAGGTTGCAGTGAGCCAAGATCGTGCCATTGCACTCCAGCCTGGGCAACAGCGTGAGACTCCGTCTCAAAAAAAAGTTATGTTTACACCATGCTGTAGCCTAAGTGTGCAGTAGCATTATGTCTAAAAACCAGTAAAACACTGCACGTACCTTCACTTACAAATACTTAGTTGCTAAAATATACTAACAATCACCTGAGCCTTCCGCGAGTTGTAATCTTTGTGCCGGCAGAGGGTCTCACCTCGATGCCAGTGGCCACTGCTGATGAGGTGGGGCTGCTGAAGGCTGGGGTGGTTGTGGCGATTTCTTAAAATAAGGCAAGAATGAGGTTTGCCGCACCGATTCACTCTTCCTTTCACGAAAGAGTTCTCTGTGGCATGCGATGCTGTTGGATAGCATTTTACCCACAGTGGAACTGCTTTCAGCCTCGCAGTCAGCCCTCCCAGACACTGCCACTGCTTTACCAACTAAGTTTATTTAACGTCCTGAACCCTTCTTGTCATTTCAACACTGTTCACAGCATCTTCACCTGGAGTAGATTCTGTCGACCAAAAAAACAACAAAACAAAAAACAGAAAAAATCCCTCGAAACGTGTCCAATGTGTTTGGGAATTAGAAGAAAGGATTATAACCAGAGATGAACCACTGTGGCCGGAGGGTGGGGCGCTCTCATCCAGAGATGAACCAGTGTGGCGAGCTGCCCGTGTGCCGGAGGTGGAGGGGCAGGGAAGCTCTCCCGGGCTGAGAAGTTCACATAAGCTGCTTGGAAACAGAGTTCACTGGCTCTGGAGGCTGAAAACCAGAGTTGGCGTCTGTTCACTGGTGGAGATGCTGCTGCTGGGCCAGTGTTCCTCCTACAGCATCTCGTCTGGATTGCTGCAGTCCTGACAAGGAATTCCTTGTGGGGTGCGCCGCCATACCTGGCTAATTTTTTATTTTATTTTATTTTTTTATTTTTTTGAGACGGAGTCTCGCTCTGTCGCCCAGGCTGGAGTGCAGTGGCCGGATCACGGCTCACTGCAAGCTCCGCCTCCCGGGTTCACGCCATTCTCCTGCCTCAGCCTCCCGAGGAGCTGGGACTACAGGCGCCCGCCACCTCGCCCAGCTAATTTTTAAAATATTTTTAGTAGAGACGGGGTTTCACTGTGTTAGCCGGGATGGTCTCGATCTCCTGACCTGGTGATCCGCCCGTCTCGGCCTCCCAAAGTGCTGGGATTACAGGCTTGAGCCACTGCGCCCGGCCTAATTTTTTTTTTTTTAAAGGAGCGGCAGCGTTTTGCCGTTTCCCAGGCTGATCTTGAACGCCTGGGCTCAGACGATCCACCTGCCTCAGCCTCCAAGGTGCGGCGAGCCTCGCGCCTGGCCAGGGTGGCTGACGTGTTAACCAATGGGAAACCAAGTGTAGGACGTGTGGAAACTGGGCCCCCTGCTGGTAGGAATGGAACGATGCGGCCACCCGGGAAAGCGGTTTGTTATTTCTCAGAAAGTTCGGAAACGTGGGGTTACCCCGTAGTCCAGCCGTTCTACAGACCTTCAACCAACACGTGCACACAAATGTCACAGCAGCACCACTCATAGGAACCAAAAAGTGGACACAGCTGAAATGTCTATTAATGGATGAACGGAATATGATTTATCCATGTGATCCTCCCATGAGGGGGAGCGGGCGCTGCCCCTTGCTGCGACGAGGATGGGCCTCGGGGACGCCACGCTCGGCGATGGGAGCCGGACAGGGAAGGCCGTGCAGCCCCGTACACCCTGGCTGTGGCCAGGGCCTGGGGGACCAGGGAACCAGGAGTGCCTGCTGGACGTGGGGGGTAGTAGGGGGTTTCTTTGGGGGCGACGAAGAAGTGTGGAGTTAGATAGGGGCAGTGGTCACGCAGCACTGCGTGTGCAGGTGCCACTGAAGCGCACACTTTAAAATGGCTAAAATGGTGAACTTTAGGATGTGTCTATTTCAGCACCGCAAAACGAAACAAAGGCATAGAGAATGGAAATCCAGCCAGGCAAGGTTCAGTCTAACCCACAGGCTCATGCTCCGAGCCGGGCTGAGTCCCCGCCCTGGGAGGATGGAGGTTGGGGTCCCTGGCCCTACCCATACCCCCAGCGCCTCAGGTTGCCCAGGGCCCAACAGGGAGGGCAGGAACGTTAACACCCAGGACAGGTGATAACCGCCAGGGGCCAGGCGAGAGTCGTGGAAAGGAAAGAACGCAGCCTCCCTGCGAACTATCTGAGGGCCCTGAGTCAAGCCCTGACCGCTCCCCTCCTTCAGGCCCCACCGTCTGACACGCGGTCTTGCCTGTCTGTCCGGCAGGGGGTAAACTGAGGCTGTGGGGCTGATGCAGCACTGGGGCCCGGCCTGCTGGCCCAGAGTCCTGAGTGCCGGGCTGACAGCATGGGAGTCCCAGGTCCTCTCTGCCCCATTCCCTCCATGCCTGGCCCTCCTGGGCGCACCCCTCACCACCTGCCCCTTGACAACCGCCTCGTCTCTCCCTCCGCAGTCGGCCTGGAGATTCTACGCCACCAACCTCTCGCGCACAGATCTGCACTCCACGTGGCAGTACTACGAGCGCACGGTCACCGTGCCCATGTACAGGTACCACCGCCGGGCACCTGCCACCACGCATCTGTTTCGTTTTTTGTTTTCCATTTGTTCTTAAACCCCACTTTTTGTTGTTCATTATTTTGATTGATTTTCTTTCTTTAAAATGTATGTATTTTTCACAAAGGAGTTCTGTGTGTGGTTTATTTCGAGGCGTTGATTCTGCCCTTTGTGTTAGAGCTGCGGCTTTCTTTTCACTTTCATTTCCTCCCCCGTTGCTTTATCGTCCTGGCCATGGGTCATGCTGTGTTGTGTGCGTTGCAAGGACGCTCCCCAGGGAGCTTGGCAGCTCTCCCCGGGCTGCTCTGGACCAGCAGCTCGAGGTGCCCAGGCTTCATGAGTGGAACCAGCACTGTGACCCCGTCCCCCAGCAAGGACCTAGGGCTCCTGCGTGGGGGGCAGGAAAGTAACCCCGGCTCACAGTGAGGCTTTCGGACCAGGAGACTCAAATTATCCTGGGGGTCCCAGGTGTCCCCCAACAGGACAGAGCACACAGACAACCTTGGAGCCCCTCGGGCAGCAGAGAAGGGGGCCTAAAAAGTGCCAGTCGAGGCAGTGCCAGCAGGTCCTGTGAGCCTGTGTGGTCAGAGGGCAGCTTTCCCGTGTTGTTTTGTTTTACAAAAGGGCAGGTGGCAGCCAGTTGGGATTTTCGGTGCCTAGCTCTTGCTTAAATTAAGGTCTGAGATGAGGGGTTCCAAGGGCCTTTCTCCTGGTCCACGTGGGCCTGACCCCTCCAGTCCGTCTATGTGGGCACCACCCTGCCCGCCCGCCCGCCTGCCCTCTGCTCTGACGTGGGGAACTGAGCCCGGGGACTTCCCAGCTCAGGCGCCCTCCTCACCTGCTCCTAGGGGGTTTCTGTTCCCTGGGGCCTTCCCTGTG